CTCTGGCCTCAGGCACCCCGTCCCAGTAGCCCCTTGCCTCTCTCTCTCTTCCCCCACAACTTTTCCTTTATTTCTTTACAAAGGAAGATTCCTCAGTTGGTCTGCTTGCCCCACGCACTTGCTGCTGCTGCTGCATGGCTGGGAAAAGCAGGCCCCATAGGCCAAGTGCCTGCCTGGCTTCCCTCCCTTCCGTCTCCACCCTGCATTCATCCCACTTCGCCTCACTGCAGTTTCCAAGAAGGCTGCCGTTTGTCATGGCTCCTCCCTTGGGAAGAAAAGAGGAGATCTGGGCAGCAATTATAAGCCCCTCCCCCCACCACAATCAAAGCCCACCTAACAGATGGACGTGCTGCCTCTGCTGCCTCTGCTGAAAAACCTCCAGAAAAGGAGACTCCACCAGACTCTGAGGCAATATATGCCACTGTCTGAAACAACTTGAAGGCACACAACAATAAAAATCCTAATTAACTTGACTCTTTCATCATCCAAAAGCAGGCCCACACTTCCGTTTATGTTGGTTAAAAATGTTCCTTGTTTTATATATTGTGTTGTTCTTTCATATATTTTTTGCTCTACAAATAAGACATATGCAGTATGCATAGGAATGCATTCATGTTTCTTTTCAAACTATAGTCTGGCCCCCCAGCAGGCTGAGGGACTGTGAACTGGCTCTTAGCTTTAAAAGTCTGGGCACCTGTGGTCTAAGTGAAGTTCAGACTATGACCCAGATATCTGGATGAGGGGAAATCATTACAGTTAAGAATGTTTATAATTTCTTAAACATTGCTTTAATCTTGGTTCTTGAGTGGCTTTTAATTTAGAACCACGTCATTTCCTGCATTATTTGTTTGTGTGATATCCTCTTCAGGTTATGTATGACTACTTCAAGAATTTGTTCATATGTCTGCACTGGAAGATTTCTTTATGACCATGGTTGAGTCATATTTGAGTAATGCTGAACATCTTATATGATTCCAAAATCCACAGTCGGGCAATATTTTTTTAAGACCAAACAAAATTATCCATAATTCTGAGCAGTCTAAATGATGTAATATGAAGAGGGAAAAGTTCTTTACTGTCCTTAAAAAGTTTCACATTTCTTTACTTGGGAATAAATTACTGCTCTTCCCAAACATCACCACCACCAACTTAATTACCTAGTATCCTGTGTCCTTTGGTGAATTTGTTCAGTAAATAGTGTGCATTTGATTTTGCTTGCCAACATGCTACCTCACTGGGCTTTAAATTGATTCAAGTTGCTCATTTCCTTCTCTTTTCCACTCTCCATTTCTTTTCATCTTTTGGAGGGTTACTGTTTGGTAGGAGGTGCTCTGCTGATTCACCTGGGTAACCTTGGTGTGGTCCTAAAGCACTCTGGAAACTGCACTCCTTGTTCACCTGGAAGTCTTCCATCCTGCTGCTGCTCTTTGAAGTGGTCTCTTCTAGCATGATATCACCTCCTGTTTACAAATAGCACCTCATGCATGACACTTTCCCCCCTGGTTCATGACTCATTTGCTGAGATGAAGAAGAGTATTTTGCTGCATTGCCTGAACATCCCTCTGGCTCTTTGGAGAGGGATAGAGCTTCTTTGTGAAATGCTGTGAGGGTTTCTCTTGAGAGATAGCCAATAAACAAATCCTTCTTTATGAAGTATAGAGTTGAGATGGGGATGTGGAGGAGAAAAGAAGTCCTTATGTTTACTCAGTCTCCCTACTGCTGTGTACTTGCCAGGCTGCCTACTAGCCATCTTGTCTGCAAAGATCCCTGCGCAGTCATTCCAATGTTTTTCCAAAAACAGCCAATTACTCTGTTGTTTAGGAATAGGACTTCACTTTTCTCAGGTTTTGTAGGTTGTTCCATTTTCAACTCAACCTGGTTGCCTTTTTTTGTCTCTCACTGACCCATGACATGCAAAACACAAGCATACACTTTCATATTCTTACACTTCATTTACTTTGTTCATTTCATATAGTCACTATGATTATTTTAGTACCATTGCACCTTTATTGAATTCAGTGGATGAGAAGTACTATGAGTAGAACAATGAAGTTTTTGAACATCATTTGATGATGAGATGAAGGCAGAGGGCTGAGATTACAAATGTGTAACTCAAGTGAGGAGAGGGAGGCAGCAGTGGAAGTGTTTGGATGGAGTACTTGAAAGGGAACCTACAAGAGGAAAGGTTCCATAGTTTGATGGAGGAGGAAGGAGTCTGATGTGGATGTGGAAAATTTATTTAAGAACTACTTATTTTAGATCTTGGAACTTAAAATATACTAAATCAAATTTCTCACTCTTTTTTGTCACACAGTTTGCCTCATTTAAACACAGTTTAAGTGCTATTAAATATTTGATTATTTTTTCTTTCAAAAACAAGACCTTGGGTTTTACAGATCTTTGGAAGAACCACAATTTTTCAACAGTGATATAACAACAACAACAACAACAACTTCATTTATATTCCACCCTATCTCCCTCAGGGCCGATTCCAAACATAAAAGGCAAACATTCAATGCCCAAATACAACAACAATACACCCATAATAATGAAAATTGACAACCCAACATATAGAATTATGTCTTAACAACTAAAATTAAATAAAAATGCGACCTGTTATATCCAACATAAGACTAAACATCAAACATTGAGCAGAAGCATCAATTTCCCAGTTCCTTGGAGGGAAATAGATTGATCATTGCTCAAGATGTCTATTGAGCTGGTGGGGCAAACAGGGCATGGATACGGATGGTAGCTAATATTAATCAGAGGTATAATTGTAGTATTATTGTCTATTACTACTACTCCTCATAGGCCAGTGAGCAAAAGTACATCTTCAGCTGTTTCTTCAAGGTCGGGAGGGAGGGGGCCATCTTTAACTCCTTAGGAAGGGAGTTCCAGAGGTGGGCGACAGCTATGGAGAAGACCCTTTCTCTCATTTCCACCAGCCTCACTTGGGATGGGGGTGAGACCAAGAGCAGGGCCTCTTCCAATGACCGCAGTGTCCAAGTTGATCTATAGTGGGAGGTGTTGTTTGTCAGACAGTCTGTACCTGAACTATTTAGAGCTTTAAAGGTAAAAACCAGCACTATATTGTACAGAAAATACCCATCTTTGGAATTATGTCATTTTTACCCCAATTATATTGATGCAGTTACCAAAATGGCTCCTCACAGTTTTTGGGTTTTTTTGTGATTATCTATTGTCCTCAAGCATTCTGTAGGCATACACTTCCCTACTTAGCATTAGTGGATTGGTCTTATCAGCAAGATGAAAATTTATGGCATTTATAGACAATGTGCTAAGATATAAGGAATCAAAGCTATCTGGTGGGAGGGGAGAGAGAGTTCAAGGAACTCTCTCTCCTCTCCCACTAAACAGTTAACACACAAGCCAACTGAATAGCAACTTAGGACCTCCCATTAAAAAGTAAAAAAAGAGCCAAAAATAATACTATGTAACAAAAACTGAAAAAAAATCTGGTCCTGGTTTGAAAGGTTTATTTCCTGTATAATTGTGTGGTACTTACTTTTAAAGTAGTTTTGTGGCTGCCACAAACTATGTTGAAGTGGTTGAGACTTTATGAGATATTCATTGCAAAACTATATCAAAATGTGCTGCAGGATGTCCCACAAAAACAAAGTTTTTGCAGTTTTAAAAACCTTTTCCATGTTTTATGATAGAACTAATTAGGAAATAACATTTATAACCCAGGGACAAAATCATGTTACATAGTGGAATCATCTTCTGTCAAAATAACACATATTTTGCTTTTGTTTGGTAATTGTGTGGGGCCTCTAGAACTTAATAGGGCCCCAGCACTTCTTGACCTGGCCCTGTTTTCTCTCTTTCCCCAGTCCTGATGTCCTACTTTCTAACACCCCTCTGACCCTGCAAGGGGCATGTTCAACACATTGTTCATAATGTGGCACTGCCACCTGCTCTGCTAATTGAACATGGTTGCAAGGTGCTGAAGAGAAGGGACATCTTTGCTCTCTCAGCCTATTGCAGTAGCTGTTTGTGAGGAAGTTAAACTTTCCTAAACCTGTTTTGAAATCAGTTGTGCCCACTGCTGCTCAGCGTCTTCAGGAGGAAGAGGAGGAGGAGATTGTTGCCAGAATCTTTGTGGAAGTGCCATCAGCTTAAGTACTTTTTCAACCACTGCACATGGAGTGTGCAGGGATTCTCCCCAGCTGTGCCGTAGCAGCCAGACAGCATCAGGTGCAGGTCTGCCTCTTCCTTGTAGACATGGATTGTCTCTGTCATGCTATTGTCTTCTGTCTCATACTTCCTGCATTCCCCTCCCTCCCCCTTAGACTTCATGAATATTGACAGAGGTTATGGTCTTCCAGTATCAAATCTGCCTCCACCTCCTATGAGTTTACTTTCAGGTTTTCAGTATTTCCTTTCCTACAAGTTGTTTCTGAGTGAGGCTGTTCCCTGTATCTTGTAAGTACGGGTTGTCAGTGAAATTATATTTTCACAGTGCCATTAAGATTAATGGCAAGTATTCTTTCATGTGAGAAAACCTCATTTGGGTGGGCTTCGAACTTCCCCCTTCCCCCTGGGTAATTTAGCAGCAGAGTCTCAAACGAGATCCTCTCTCCTTAGCCACAGACTATTTCTTGGTCATGCAACAGCCATACCACCTTGGATGCCAACAAACCACCTGCTCCCAACATTTTCATACCTCCACTGCCATTTAAATTACAAGTGTTGCATTTCCAAATATAAGTATGGAGAGAGTGTACCTGGATTCCCAATAAAACCATGGTCCCAATAACCAGCCAGTAGTATTATTCTTCTGGGAAACATAGAATATTTTGCAGCAATATCTGAAGCTGTGGGGATTATTGGAAGGGTTGCAACAAAGGCTGTGGGTTGGGGATATATGTTGCCCATTCTTGTGCCAGAATGATGAAATTCAGGGAGATCGAGACAGAATTTACAGATTATGTATTTAGATAGATTAGGAGAAAGTGAGTTCCATGAACTCTTACCTTTTCTAGGCCCATGTTGTCCAAGCTGAGGGTCTCCATGTAGCGCCCAAAAGACTGGAAGGCTAAGTCTGGAATGACTTTAATTGAGTTGTGTGATAGCTTCAGGTCCTCCACCACCCTCAGCTTGCTCATTGCAGAAAGTGGGTAGCTGGTCAATTGGTTCTTATCCAAGTGGAATATAGCCAAGTTTTCCACATCATCCAGTGCTCCTGGCTGGATAGAAGAGATTGAGTTGTTTGACAGATAGAGCCAGCGAAGATCCTTGGTGCCATGGAAGACTCCTGATTTCAGCTCTCTGAGCTTGTTGCTGCCTAGTTGCAGGATGAAAAGATTAATCATTGGTGAGAGGAGTCCCTTGGGTAAGTCAGCAATCTTGTTATGGTCTATGTAGAGGTACGTAAGTTCTATCAGGTCATCAAAGGCTCCCATCCTGATGACATTAATGTCATTATTAGACAAATAAAGATAGACCAATTGCTTCAGACCCCGAAAGGCTCCACTGGAAATCTCTTTGATGTGGGAATGTTGGAGGTGGAGCGATACAAGATTTCTCAAATCTCTGAAACCATTGGTTGGCAAGACAGGGAAGTTGTTCCTCTGGAGATTGAGGAGCCGTGTCTGTTCGGCTACCTTGGGAATCTTTCTCAGTCCAACATTGTCACAAATGACATGATGGAGATCTCCACCATGGCAGTGACAGTTCTGGGGACATGCCTGCAGTATGGGCAGCAGGCATATCAGCAAGCAGAACAGCTTGAATAGGAAGGCTGACCGGTTCATATCCACAGAGCTACGATGAGTGTTTAAGGAGGAGGAGGAGGAGGAGAGGAAGGGAGAAGGTGGAGTGAAAGAGAGAGTGACTCTGCAGCAAGCTGAACACAGCTCTATTTATAATGTTATTAAAAACAAGATCCCTGCCCACTAACCACAGGCAGCAGCCAGACTTGGAAGTAATGGGTTTCAGGAACCTGGTGTGGCTTTAACCCCTTGGCATCAAGCAGAGATGATTCCTCCCTCCTTCTCTCTTGCCCTGCCCTCTTTGAAGCATTAATGTTTTTCAAGATGCTTTTCCTCTCCAACACATCATATGAATGGACAGCACTTGCATGTGCTATGTCCTACATTGTGCACATAGGAAAATGAAATTGTTTCCTGCCTCCCTACTTCTTTAGCTGTTGTAAAAGGAATCGTTCTTCTTCATGCAATCTAATAGTGGCTTTATTAATAATAATTCTATCTCCACAGAGCATCTTTGTACATCTCTTTAATATCTTAAAAAAATCTCTAGACAGAACACATCTCCCCCTCACTCAGATCAGTGTGGCTTACATGGATTTTGTTGATGTACAACCTCTGTGTATTCTTTCTAATATTTTGTTATTAAAATTAAGTACTACTGTATCAGATAACAATAATTTTAGATAAGCCTTCCATTCATTTTAGCTGTTACATAACATGGGATAATATCCAGCCAACATCAACCCTCTGCATCTCTTGCCATGTTTTCAATATCTTTTCTTGGTCATCAGAAGACCCTCCTGGAGGATTCTGGGTTTTAAATTGTTGTTTTTATATACTATAGTTTTTATTTTATTGTATTGTTCTGTGTGTTTATTTTATGCTTTGTCTTAGCCTCTTTGTGCCATATGTAAGCTGTTCCGAGTCCCTTTGAGGAGATGGAGGCAGGGTACAAGAATGAAGTTTTTGTTGTTGTTATTCAGAGCAAGGGAGAGGAAGCATGCTCCTAGAAAAGAGGGACGTTTGAAGATAAGAGGATTACTTCCAAGGAAGATTGTGATGTTGTTAGAATATCTATGTGCAGAAATTGTTACCCATGATATACATGTTGGAGTGAGATGATAATAATTGAGATCTTTGTTAACCTAACACATTTTGAGTTGTCCTTTATTATAAACAAAGGGGACACATAGATAACTTTACGTCCTGTCCAGTTCAAAGTCACTGCAGTGCTTAATCCACTTTTGTTTCAACCAGAGTAGACCAATTGGAATCAGTAAGACTTGTCTTAGTGGTTCCTAAATAATCCTATTCATTTCCATAGTTCTGAAGTAAAAGAGTAAAAGATCGATGCACTGCTTAAAAATTCCCACTTGAAGGAGAAATCAGAGACTAGGTGAATACCACTGAGTAGGTCCATTATTTTGAGTCTCCACAGAAAAGCTGTTTCTTAAGACTTCTAGGGTTAGAAGGACGTAAGCAGTTTCATATCCTTGAAGATGAGTCCCAATCAGCACTAGAAACTAAACCCAGAAAGAAATTGGTAACTAGTGCAGAAAATTTCATACTAGAATGGCAAATTCCAGTTTGTCTGTTCCATTAATTTGCTGGTGGCTGCATTTTGGACCAAATCAAGCATCAAAGATTTTAATAATAATAATAATAATAATAATAATAATAATAATAATAATAAACAACTTTATTTATATTCCGCTCTATCTCCCCGAAGAGACTCAGGGCGGATTCCAAACATAAAAGGCAAACATTCAATGCCCAAATACAACAACAATACATCCATACTAACAAAATTTAAACAACCCGACATATAAACACGAATTATAACTTAACAACTAAAATTAAATAAAAAACACAGCCCAGCCTGTTCTAACAGACATAAGACAAAACATCAAACATCGAATGCAAACAATAATTTCCCATTTCCTTTAGGCAAATTAATTAATCATTACTCAAGATACCTATTTTGCTGGTGGGGTGAACAGGGCACGGATATGAATGGCAACTATTAATCAGAGGTATAATGGTAGTATTACTAACTACTATTCCTCCTTCCATCTTAAACACATTACAGCAGAGTAAAGGCTGCTGCAAGCCAGGAGGGCAGAGAGGAGGCAGGGAGAAGGAAAAGCAGGGAGGATGGTACCTTGTTCTGGGTGAGGATGGTGGAATTGGGAAATGCTCCCTCCCCTGAGCAGGATGCATGGCTTCTTACCTTCTGATCCTGGTATAGATGTGTGTTTACTGCCCCCCTGCCGCCGCCACCACCGCCTCTCTCCAACTTTCCTTGCCCTTTCTCCCTTCTGGAATTATTAGTTGAGTGCAGTACGCTGGCCCACTGCTTACATTGGATATAATAAATAAGCCATGATATGAATTTTAAAAATGTAAATTTGTATTCTATGTTGTGCCCTGCGTGTTATATACAATGTAAAGTAATTCATTGTTTAATATTATCAATTCCATGGACATTTCTGCTAAAATGTGCAAAATGTGTCACAACAAAAGCTCCCTTATAGTCAGGGCTGAAAGTTGGTCACTTTAGTACTATATCACCCATGTTTATATCTGCTGACCTCACAACCTCAGACCTCACAACCTCTGAGGATGCCTGCCATAGATGCAGGCGAAACGTCAAGAGAGAATGCTTCTAGAACATGGCCATATAGCCCGAAAAACCTACAACAATCCAAAGCACATTATATCTCTGGTATTGAAAGATCAGTTCAAAGAACAGAATTTTACTGGGTTATAGACTAAAAAATCAGGGAGTCCGTGTGTTTATAATATGCCCAACCAACGGTACCACCTAATCAAGCATTCTAGGAACAGCTGTTGAATCCCCCTCCCTCAGAAGAAGCCCTAGAACAGTGGTTCCCGGCCTGGGGTCCCCAGATGTTTTTGGCCTTCAACTCCCAGAAGTCCTAACAGCTGATAAACTGGGAGTTGTAGGCCAAAACACCTGGGGACCCACAGGTTGAGAACCACTGCCCTAGAGGAAGAAGTCAAGAATGATGGCACAGAAAAATCAAGAACTACAAGTCTCACTCTTTTGTATTATTTGGAGTGGAAGGCTAATGGGAGAGAGAGAGTGAGCAGGGAGGAGGCTGAGGCTGGAGATGGAACATTTTGAGCTGGTCTTTAGCCAGGTGCTGGCGGCAACAAACAGCTGGGAGCTATGGACATATAACTGTGAGCCTATTGAGGCTTCCACTGCTGAAGCTGGCTACGAAGCTCAGCAGATTGAGGTGTTTACGGAGGCGAGACAGTCTCAAGAAAGAGAGAAAATCCAAAGACTGACTTAGGACACAGAGGAAATATTATTCATAGAGATGCCTGGTTTTTTCCATTGTTGGGAGGAGGTGTTGCTGAGCATGCGCTGTGTGATGTTATGCAAACTGGCTAGCAGTGACCAAACCTCTGTTTTGCAGAGGTATATTTCAAAGGGACTTTGAACTGGAGTTGCGAGGTTATTTTAAATGGTGTATGTGTTGTATAAATTTTCAGTCCTTTTATTGGCAAAGGAACTATGTAATATTTTTAATTTTTCCCTTGTCAGAATATGAAAGTTCCACTACTGAAATGTCCAACCCTATAGTGGCTATGCTATGCAGCTCAGCCCTACGTGTGCTGCTTGTTCTCTTCCTTCAGTGGGTGTGTGGGGTTGTGGTGGGAGGAGACATCTGGCTCACAAGAAGTTCTTGAGCAGCAGTTCCCGTCAGGCCTAACCAGCACAATCAATGTTAAGGGATGATGCAAGTTTCAGTCTAGAAACACTTGGAGGATCACTCATGCCCTCTTTTTGTTTTACTTGTCCAGACTTTCAGTTTCTTGGAGTATTATTTTCTTCTTTCTTACTAGAGTTATTCGTTTTGGGGCTCTGTCTGCTTGAAGTTATATACATCATTTTGCTACCTCTTATATGTATACTCAGCCTACTCTGAATTTCTGGCCTCTCTCTTCTGAGTTCTTGTGCTGTCATCTCTTTGTGCCTGATCAAATATAGACCTGATGAATCCTATCCCAACATGTCAACGACTTAAATCAAGAAATAGTTTTCTAAGATCTACAGAGACACTCGCTGGAACACCTCAGCAAGCGAGAGTCCAAAAGTGGCAGGCTCAAACCCAGAACCTCAATCAATGCCTGATACCAAATGAGAGACCCCCCCTGGGCACACAGAAAACTGGGCGGCTTGGAAGGCGCTGAACAGACTGCGCTCTGGTACCACGAGATGCAGAGCCAACCTTAAGAAATGGGGCCACAAAGTGGAATCCAAGACATGCGAGTGTGGAGAAGAGCAAACTACAGACCATCTGCTGTGATGCAACCTAAGGCCAGCTACATGCACAATGGAGAACCTTTTTATAGTAACACTAGAGGCACTCCAGGTGGCTAGCTACTGGTCAAAGGACATTTAATCAACTACCAAGCTTGCAAACTTTGTATTTTGTTTGTTTGTTAAAAAATGCAATACAACTGTTTGGCTTGCTCCTGACATGATAAATAAAATCCGAATCATTGTTTATCTAACAGTTCTCACATTTACTTATACTATGAGATTTAGTGACATTTTTATACAGTTCCACATGTGGGATCATGTATGCACAAGCTACACATTGCTATGTGAACTTTTACAAAGCTCAGATAAGCAAGGTGCAAGCATCATCCTTTCTCCATTGGCATGAAATTCATCACAACTCCAGCATGAGTCAGTCTAAGGCAGGGGTCCTCAAACTAAGGCCCGGGGGCCGGATGCGGCCCTCCAATGTCATTTACCCGGCCCTCGCTCAGGGTCAACCTAAGTCTGAAACGACTTGAAAGGAAGCACACAACAACAACAACAATCCTATCTCATCAGCCAAAGCAGGCCCACACTTCCCATTGAAATAGTAATAAGTTTATATGTTCTTCATTTTAATTATTTTATTGTTTTATGTGTTTTTTGCACTACAAATAAGACATGTGCAGTGCGCATAGGAATTCATTCATGTGTTTTTCAAATTATCATCCGGCCCTTCAACAGTTTGAGGGACTGTGACCTGGCCCTCTGTTTAAAAAGTTTGT